CTGCTGAAGAGTCCCATACTAGAACGAAACGGTTATCCAGTGCTTCCTAGTTTTCACTGGTTGTTCAACTAATTTTGTCATGTAAACTTTAAAACTTGACAATCTCAAGATAGTAGGACCCAACGACAAGCTTGATTCTTTTTGATAACTAATTTATTTGTGACTTAAAATCCTTGTAACTTTTTGGCAATGGCATTGGAAAGTATAGGTTTCAAATTCCGATGAAGCATGGGCTTAGTTGACTCACAAGACATACCTTTCTGAGCAAGAACGACACTTAAGTAATGTGTAATATATACATAACATTATTTTCTGGTTATTTGAAACACAAAGTTTTTAATTGTGAAGGTGTTAACATTCCTGATGCTAAGCTTCAAAGGTGATTTCTGTTAAATCTCAGTGTTAACTCAGCTGTAAAATGGAGTTAAAAATCTGCTTATCAGTCATGTAAAACTTGATTCAAAAACTCGACGGATAGTGAAAAGTGAATGCAAAATCCAGACCTAGAATAAGCAACGCGTCGGTAAGTTATTGAAATGCAATAAACATAGTATGTGCTATCATTTAACAGTCACGCTAATATCACCAAATATTTTGGTGACATACTAACTAACTGAACACCAAAGCATGTTTGCAAAACCACATTATTTGTGTCCTGTAAAACATACCACTGTAATTTATAATAACTTGTAATTAGGTCAAACAATTTATAAATCAATCTAATAAGTGAGAGAATAAAGTAAAGTCAGGCGACGGTTGCCATGTTGTCAACTTTTTCACTGAACTGGTACACGTTGGGCAAATCCATAGCCTTACTACTACTAACATGAACTAAATCGCCTTGGTCATGTGTTCAAAGCTAGTCGTCAAATGCAAAATGAACCAATTACAAATTAACAGTTTAAAATGTGATAAAATAAATCTACATGGTACTTCTCTCATGAAAATATTAATTGCAATAAACTTCATCAACAAGTAACTTCAAATGTTAAGTATGAGAGTCATATGATGTTAATTTACCTTAATGCGTTATTATTTGTGCTTAATTCACATTTTGAAATTGTCATTACTATTAGATAAAAACCCATATTTATATCTCGAGAGCATGATTACCAAAGGAGTAGATTACTATCTATAAAATCTCGTTACATTCTGAGCATATAAACTTCTAGTAGCATATGTGATAAACTGGAATTGTTTCATTATCTGTTTCAAAAAAAAAACACTGCAGAAAATCATTTATGTAGCTTTCAAGAACTTGGACTTCTACTCCAAGAGCTGTAGTTTTCGAAAAAAGACTTGCTACTAGGAAGACGAAACCCAAATTTCCTTCAGTGTTTGTTTTGTAATTCTTAACTATTCACTTTTATATCTCTAAGAAAGTCTACAGATAATTCAATCGAGCAGATTTCAAAAGTTTAATTTTCAATATGAAGTGAATTTAGGGTAGAATATTACGAATATCTTGATCAAAAATTTGAGCCTAATAAGAAACAGCTTGAACCATTTAAAAATGAACCAAGCAAATGAGTAAATTTGGTTATTTTAAAATTTCTTTATAACCAATAGTCATAACTAGCTAGACTAAATAAAAAAACAATTCTATGATTTTTAGCAAAATACATATCATACTATGTTTCTTGGCATTCGAATATTGGATCAACAAACCTTTTATTTTCTGTTTATCCCACAGTGATAAACAGTTTGATAGAATGCAACAGCAAGCTTCTTATTTAATGAGCAGTAACGGCTTTTATAAAAAAGATCTGGACCTAGAATCTGTACTGGTAAGTCATCATCAAGTAGTGTTAAGGAAACTTCTGGTTGCCGAAAACTGAATTTGACCTGATTAGATAATCCTCTGAAGTCACACTTATAGTCAAACAATGAATCACAATCAGAATCAATGGATACTAAGATGAGTAAGTTACGTTTAACTTTATGGGCTAAAACTTTAAAATGATGAAGTTGATCCCTTATAGGCTCTTCAAATTTATGTAAAAGTATCGTCATGAAACGAAACATTAATTTCTTAGATGACATATGTTCGTGGTGAAAACCATCTTGAAACTGAATAAAATTCTTAAAATCACTCAACTGGGTATTTGATAATCAAACATAATGATTTACGAAAATTGTTTCAGTTTATGTATTGAATAAACAAACGAGAAAAGTATGAGGATTAGTAAAGTTTGCAAATCCTTACTTTGCTTCTCGGCTCTCCGAGCTAAGATCATTTGTAGTTCATTATAGTACCCGATATTTATTGACACAATTCAATATGCTTGAATGAATTCAGTAACCTTGATTGTAACTCAATTTCATAGTTAAAATACAATAATGAACAATAACTCTCTGAATGTAGGTCAACTTAGATAAATATGATGTAAGAAAATTATCATGTCATATATCATCTGAATTAAATATTTGTTTAATAACAATTGTTATCTCTAATAAACACTCTATAGATAAAATTTTAGGAAGTATTTATCAAATAAGACACTATTTATTAATTATGTATCATTTCTGAAAAAAATATCTATGCGTGTACTTTTAGATACTAGTTCTGAATGTTATCTGTATAATCCCCTTACAATAATCACAATGTTAGTTTTATGTGAAAGTTTAACTCTCGCTGATCAAAATCATTCTTAGAGTATAGCTGTATGATTTATAAAACAGACAGATGCCAGTTGAAAGTCAACGGCAACTGAGCCACTAGTGTCATCTTAGTCAAGAACTTTTCAGCACTGCACATTCAGATTTTCACATGGGATCTTGTTACAGAATCAAGGATCCCAATATTATCTCAATAAGATACAGTTAGGGAATTGGAATTCGGTGGACCTTTAAGCATTATATTCAAGTCGGTTATGGTGATATTGGGAATTAGTTAGCAGTAGAATCTATAGTGTCGTTTAGTGAGTATGCCTGAAACTTAGTGTTGTTTTTTACATTGAGATTCGAACCCATTATTTTTTACTTCAAACGCCGAATGCGTTATCCATTGAGCGATTAATTCTAGACAACCACTAGTTAATAACTATCGGGTAGCACCGAAGTATCCCTTGGAGAAGTCTGTAGAGGTCCAGAAACGCCAGGAACCATTTCACCAAATCAACATTGAACTGAATCCCCGCAGGAACATCTGCAAGATGCAGATTCACGTTCCACGATCCTGATTATATATTAAGCCATTTAGCTACCATATTTAGAATGGTTCTTGGAACGTTCAGAAGCCTAAGGTCATGAGTAACTATGAATACAGTGATTTTTGTGTACATAAACTAGGCTTGGAGTCAAGTGTTCATCTCTTACTTTGCACCTTTTCTCTTGTGTTAGATTTGTAGTGTAGACTTAGTCCGGGCTTTTTAGAAGTGGATAGAAATTGAGAAGAATTTAGAAGACCTATCAGTGACGACGGGGATGGAACTTATCAATAACTCCCATTATTCAGTTTTACCGAAAACTTGTGACCGATTGGCAGTATCAAGGCAAACCACTTAGGATGCATAGATGACAAAAAAGAGTGACTAATAGGAGTCCTGTTCATCAGCAATAGGGAAACGCAAACCCTTACAACTAGTGTAGAAGTGTAAGGTCAAGTTATCCAAATACAAAAAAAAACCAATCATGTTTATTCTGATAAATCTGAAAAGTTAACGTTTAGATCGTCGAATGCCGGGTCAGTGGTCAGAGGTTAAGTGTTCGCGGGCAAGACCGAATGTCACAAGTTCAGGTCCTGCGAGTAGCAGGAGTCGTGGATGGCAATGCTGATGAATTACATACCAGGATGAAACGGCTGTCCAGTGCCTCGATGTTTCTAATGGTAGTCTAATGGTGATTCATTCATGATTTTAGTGTAAAATATTATATTGCTCGGTCACTACCTCCGATTGAAGTCTGTCGACCAAGTTTCAATGTTCCAAGTACTTTAAGTAAATTAAAGTTTTGATTGCCATCTTTCGCAATCAGTGATTAAGGTATCAACAAACTAGAACCTGGCGTCGACAGATATCACATCCTCATATTAATTGGTATCGACAATCTTTCTGACTGGGTTGTGACAGAATAACTTATGACTGCTTGGAGGAAATCATTCAAAGCATTTTTGTGAGTTGTTTTTGTTATACTGGCTTCAATAGCAGGACACTCATCTAGTTCAGAAAACTTTTTCTAAGAAAAGTTGACACAACTGTCTAGTAGCATATATAGTAGCATATATATACCTGCGAACCTAATGGGTTTGGAGCCTCAAGTATTTTGAGCCTTGGTAAACATGTTTCTAAAATAATTTAATTTCACCTAAATACCATTTCATTTACAAAGTCTCAATGTCCAAATGAAGTCTAAGCTATTCGATCACTTTGACATGGTAAAGTCTCCTGTTTTAATATATTTAAGACCTCCATTGTGAAAATTAGAGCAACACATAGGTGAACAATATTGTTTTCCATTAGATTATCATCAGGTTTTATTTTAATATACAGGAATATTTTTATCAAAATGAACTTCTGTTTTAAACTGAACTAGTTTCGTTTCTTATTGCCTGTCATAAAGTAGGTTTCGTTCACTATTTGTTTATTGGGTTGATAATAGGACTTTCTTTTCGTATGGTGTATGAAACTTTCTACGACTTAATGCAGCAATGTTAAACAACTGACCAACATGTGTCAGAGTTTGTTTTTTCATTCGAATCAACAAAGATACCTATGTGGTTTGGACAAATATCCGAATAGATCATTAATTTTGCCGAAACATTAAAATAATAATGATATCCAATGGGAATTTTATTCAGTCAACCCATTTAAGTATGAGTGACAAATGACCAGCTATTTCATTCGCTCAAAATTATTTTTTATAATAAGTCATCCCAATGAACTGGAGTGTGATTGGTTGATTTTATGTCAAGCGTCAATTCACTAACGTGTTGAATTCCCCTTAATAACCAGGGTTTATATGATCACCGCTACTTTAAGTTTGTGGGAATAGTTTGAGGGATGGAGTGTACACACTCTTCAAGTACATTGTTGTCATATTCGAATAATTTAGGAATTTGTTCAGATCAAATGATGACAAATTCACATCACTGTATGAAGATCGAGCCGAGTTTTCCCGTAGAAATGGAAAGAACTCCAATGAAAGAATTCAGTAACATAGAATCAAATACACTAGTTGAGAATGTTGTTCAAAATTATGAGTATCATAATCCTACCGTATGCAGCAATTCATTGATTCCTGATAATTTCTCAAACTATACCATTAGGAATGATTGTACCGCTTGTCAATTACCTGGATGTACATACTATTCTCAGAATCACATGATAACAAACTATCCTTACACCCCATCCCAAAACTATTTAAATGAATACAACTACTCACCTGGACATGCAAACAATATCCAATATCCGTTCAGTTGCCATCAAACTTGTAACTATTATCCGTCATATTCACCTATTCGAAACCAAGAAGGGATTTTCTCTCTCAAAGTTGAATCTACTGATAGTGATACTGAGAACAAATGTTTTTCAACCAAAAATGAAGATAAGATGAAGAAAAAGTATGGATGTACATTTCCTGGTAAGTTAGCCGTACTTTCATTATTGGTTATAGTTTTTGGGTCATAATCTTGTATCACTATTTCACTCGAACCACTTTTGATGTTGTAAGTGTTATTAGGTATTTTCAAGAGATTTTGATTTATTTGTTTGACCCGATAAATGAGTGGCTTAAACTTCGGTTCTAAACATAACAATCTGTTATGAATTTGGATTTCAGTTATTGTAACATTCAGTTTGGTGTCATTTGGTAAAAATATACAAACCTAACTAAAACCAGTCTGGAACTTTAAGTACATTTTGTACTTTTCGTATCTAATCTAAATCATAATAACCAATGATTTACTTAGTCTGTAGGAAATATGTACTCAAAGCCTAGTCGTTGCTTATGTTGGTGTAAGTGTTTATTCTAAATGGCTTTTTTCATACCTTGTCATTTAAACTCATCATCTTATTATTCTAAAGAAATGTCATCGTAAATTTGTAACTCATTTGAATGCTTACTTGGAGATATACTCAACTCCCTAAAAGTACCACATTCCTTTTAAACTAAACCATAGTAAGGCATTGCATTAATCACTGTTACGCCAATTGAATATGGTAACTAATTCATGAACTTGGTATTTTTAGTCTACTTCATTGTAAAATCTCGATTATTTGAGATGTAACTGGTAGATATTGGTTAGAAACTGATTCCAAGCTTGTTATGTTATTCTTTTTAGAATTGATTGTGATCATATAGGTCATTCACAAAATAATTCGTCCTATAGCTACATAAGGAATGTTTTTATTATCTTCTTTTGATCACTAGTGGTAAAACAGACAGGGCTAATGCTGATTGGTGTTATATCAAAATGTCAACACAAAACTCTTGACAAAGTCAATTGAGGATTATGTAATTCAGTGTAGTGTCGTCTAATCACTCACAGGAATAAATTTTACCAATCATCACACTTGCTCCATAGTTTCAACTCGATGACTTACAAAGTCGTAGAATGACTACTAATTATAGGGGAGCCCAATTCCTTGCCAAGATAGACTTATGTACCTGTATAACTAAAATTCTACCGGAAGTGTTTAGTTTAAGTCTTAGAGACTATGAATCAGTCAGCTACAACAGCGACTAAGAATTCAGATCAGAATTTCTTGAGGTCAGTAAATCTAACAATAAGTGCGTAGCGGTCTCTTTTAATCTGTCTACCATTCCTTGACCATCTAATCATAACTTTTAGCTTACGGAAATCAGTCATTTTCCATAAGTGATGAGTATCTTGTTGATAAATTGCTGATTTAAAACTATATAGATACTAATAGCGTCTCGTAACTACTGTAGAGCTGCAAAGTTATAAAACTGATGTCATTTTGTTAAACTATCTGAAACTAGCTCAGATTTATGTGTACAAAATACCTGGAAATGATCTTTCAGTAAACGTGATTGACCATTTAATCTAAGCTTACTGTTACACATCTTGTCCCAGTGGTAATGTTTTTAAAAATCACAACGAATTGATGTAAAAGATGACTTCTGAATTTTGTTTACATGGATTTTCGTGACATGTATAGAGATAACTACAACTACCTATTCATTTAAAAACCAAGATAATTGAATAAATCTATCCCGTGTTGAGTTGATAAGTTCTGAAGTTCTGTGAAACAATGTATTGTTTGCTATCCTAATTATTATTCATTCAATGTGACATTTGTGCAAATCATTTTGAAAATCTTCCAAGTATCTACACATTTGGAACCATATGAATAACTTCCGAATAATCATCATTCCCACTTGAGAATCTGTAGCTTGTTTACTGACTCTAATTGTTCTGAGTATTGGTAACTTTTGACAGTTCATACATATGTTTTAAAGTACAATACCTGGTTTCCAAAAAGTGAATCAGTTTTCTTAGTAATAATCTAGTGGTTATACTTCATAGCATTTGTTTTGTCTCTAAATATCAATAATCATACAAGTCTGTGGGTAATTATGTCTTATATGAAATCTCATCTCATGCAAAGATGCTCTTGACCAAAACCATTTGGAGCAAATTCAATGAATTCAACGCTAAGAAAATTGTTTGCATTCGTGAGTGATATTTCACGTAAAATACCAGATACTTATCTCTACGGTTTATTAGAGTAACCACCAAGACTTTCACGTAACCTCAAGTATTTCAAGTAAGGTATGTGTACACGTACTCTTAAATTATGACTAATGTATTTTTGGAACAAGTATTATATATTGATGATCCTGAGTAAACCAATGTGCATCAAAATAACTCATCTATTCGGTGCGAAATTTAAAGTACAGTAATGGATAACTTGTATGTTACTATTAACGAAGTGAGATTTGACAATTTATAATCCTTGAAATGTTCGAAATTAATAAAAATTTCTATTGTGAAACCGAGAAGTGAGATTTAGGATGGTGATTGAGCTAAATTACTGACTGTGGCTCTTTTCAATGCAAATCGTATGGTAAAATAAGGTTTATGATCAAATGAGTTTTCAGTAGTGTTGAGTGATAATATCCTTCCTTTATATCTCTTATTCTAAATCTCTTCTATTATTTCTCTTAAGTTTGTAAACAGTAGGATGACCAAGCATTGCATCATAGCTAGTGCGTCATGAAAACCCTAACTGTAATGTGAAAAACTAAACTCGCAACTCTACCTGGACTGAAAAAACTTAACCCTAACCTCCTAACATCAAAGCTGGTCTCGGTTACCTATGGAAAGTCTGTGAGGTGATAACCATAACTAATTAGACTAGCCTGACTTTTAATAGGTGGACTTGGCCTTTTCCTTCCATTACGACGAATAATCCGGCTTGTGGAAGTTGTTTATTCAGATAAAAGCTATTATCCCACCGGTATTTTAATCTTTTAGCCGTTTATTGATTCACAGATGGGCAGCGCTTTCCGATTGTCTGGTACGCCACTCAAGGTCGTCAGCAAAGTTTACAAAATAATAGTCTTAACCCTGTTAAATAATTCATCTGTACTTACGTAATTTGTGGAAAGGATAACTTCGGTTTTCACATTCGCACTTATAGTACAACTTTGAACCAATTTTTACTTCACATAATTAATTACAGTAAAATTAGTGTATGTACGTTTTTCAAATGCGACATTTGACTAACATTTGTTTCTTCAACATCACTTGTTTCAGGCTGTGAGAAAAGATATCTAAAGGCAAGTCATTTAAAAGCTCATTATCGAATTCATACTGGTAAGTGGGGACATCTTTTGTTGTGTTTTCTTTCAAACGTTTTTGAGAAGTAACTGACTACTCAATAGGAATCGTATGGATATTTAGTTATTGAAAATCTTGGTAAAAATGTATGACTCTATTTTATTGTTCTATAGACCACTGTTTTTTATGGTGAAACAGTAGGATTCAAGTATAAGAAACCCAGTAGCTACCTTTTTTCTGATGGTAAGCTAGCTTATCAGCAACAAAACATTTATACAGCCATCAATTTACAAAAATTACCTATGAAATTAGATAAATTTATATTTCATTTATGAAGAAAATGTACACATCGTACTAAATAGATTTAGAGGCTGATCGGACACGATATCATTTTGAATCCTACAATAGATTGGGTTAGGTTCAAATTAATCACAGAGGTGGAAAAAAATTAGAAATCGGGTTATCATACGAATAATTTTAAGGTCATGAAAATCATTCCTCTCTCTACTCTCATAAGAAATTAATTTTTAGGGATTACAAAGATTTGTATTTAATTATATCAAATTGTATCAGTTCAACGAAATGACTTTATAACTTAACTAAATCATGACATAAACATAACTCTCAGCCTAACTTTGAATGATCCAGAAAAACAGTTCCAATCGTTATGAAAGCAAGCTGCAAAATATTTTCTACGCATGTTCGGTTACATACTAACACTACAGTTTGCAAATTAATGATTAGTGTTAAGATGTTAGAACTCAGCTTGTGAAAAGTATGATTCTTAAATACTATTAATGAATTCAGATGTGTTTGAAGTAGATTATGTTTATGTATTGTCAGATTTATGAATCCAAATGTGGTCTTCGATTAAAATAAAGATGCACAAATTAATATTACATGCTTTTTGTGTAAACTAAGTTTAATACTCATCACATATTAACTCTAACTGAATTAGCATTAGAGATAGGTAGAACTGGACAGTTGTTCTTTGATGGTCTTAAAATTTAATAACAAATAAGGACTATGAGTACAAATTCGTAGAGAGTTCTGAACTGGAATAAAATAACTGTCCAGCAATCCTCTTTTTTAATAGTTCCCCAGTTAAATTGACAATCCTTACAATTACGTTAATCTAAATAAAATCATACTTATTAAGTCTTATTATCTAAATTGATTAAAAGGAATAAATGATTTAAAATGGTACGTGTTTATTTTCTTTTTCTAGGTGAACGTCCATTAGTGTGTGTATTTCCTTATTCACGTAAAATAACCGGGAAAATTCCGATTAATTCATTGACTTTACCAATATGTGGCGAAACATTTGCTCGCTCAGATGAATTAACTCGACATTTAAGAAAGCATTTAAATTTACGACCATTTAAATGTAATTTATGCTCAAAAACATTTAGTCGATCTGATCATTGCAAAACACATTTACGTACTCATATCAACAATCTCGATAAAACAACTCATTCACATCCCAATAATCATTCTCTTACATCAAACTATAATAATAGTAATGAAATGAACAACAATTGTATTCATCCTACAATACATTTTACATCACCAGACGAAGTGCATAAGAATTCTTTCATTAATCCTTTACCAACAATGGCATCGTCATCATATCTCCCATTTCTGATCAATACAGAATATCCACATTTATCGTCATCAAGATCGAATTCATTATCTTTAGCTTCCTCTTCCATACATTCTTCATTATAAACAGTAAAATAATAGGAATTATTACTTAATATTTTTCAGTTAATTTAACAAACAACAACATTACGTTTTCCCGAATAATACTGTAACTATCATATCTTTTGTTGCTTGAGACAGCCTAATATTTATTTTAGAGATTTTGAAAAAAAACAAGAACGTTTTACATTTTGGTCATTTAAACAGATTCTTTTATAACTTATCTATTTACAGATTTTTAAATAACAGGACATTATTATTATCATTATTATTATTTTATTATTATTATTATTTTAAATATGTATTTTGTTTAAATAGAATCCACATAGTTTTTTTTAGATTGAAGAATTGTTACTTCTGTATTCAATGTGTAAATAAAACGTTCTCCAGATAAATCCATATTGTGAAATTAATATAGGATGTCAATCTTTATGGAAAAGATCACAGTGTCCGTTGGTTGACTGCTACGTTACCGAGTTGGAAAACACCAGTCGAGTTTATATTTTCATAACAATACATGGAACTATCTTCAAGTGAGCTATTACATGTTTGTATCTTGTAATCTAGTTGGTTCGTATATGAATCAGCAGACACGGCAAAATTTCGAAGTAACCAAAAAGAATCAACTTAGATCTGATATTACAACGTAAAATATATTAGATTCATTATTTTCATCTACTAAATGATGAATTATACCCATCAGCAGTAAGTAAAATTGTTTACGGTGGGATTAAGTATTCAAACAATTCCATCAGTATAACTTTGACGGGTTTTAAGTTGCGATTTCTTAAAATGTCTTTTATGTGATAATTATCAATCTTACTAATTGGGGAATCTAGTGACTAAAGTGATCTAGTGAAATCTATCATTAATCTGTCATTTTTGCGTCTCCTTTTGTAATAAGCTTTAATCTTCTCCAGGTGGCAGTCAACTGTTTAGTTTATGGAATATTATTACGTAACCAATATTTATAAATACAGACATGTAAGTCCACTTCACTCACACCGAATGGATAATTTCATGTAAATATGTTAATAGATAAGATTCTCTTTGTGTGCATAGCATATTTCTAAGGTCCTCTATAAACATTTTTCATGCTTGATTTTTGTACTATATATATATATATATATATATATATATATATATATATATATATATATATATATATATGTACATTCTAAAACATCTGCTCAGATTTAAAACATTTTTAACTGATAACAGGTTATAATTGAATTCATAAACGTAACTATTGTAAGTAAACTTAGTGGTAGTGTATAACACCTATATGTACGTGAATTAAATTCACTGTTCGACTATAATAAAATATTTCTCAAGATATAACAGTGTATCATGAAAATTTTTGAGAAAAAAAGGAGTATGGTTCTTGATTAAAATATACCTTGTAAAAAAATGTAACTAATTAATTTTCATTATATGATTATGTTAGATTTAATATTTGGTGCGCACTTTAATGAAAATTACACTATAATATTCGATCCTCACATATAACATGAATGGAAAAATAACCAAAGGTACTGAATACTAAACACGGAGTCAACGTTGAAATTACATAAAAAAAGATAACCGCAGTCATTCATGAAAAGATTGTTTACAACATTCTAAAAGAAATATACAAATGTGTTAAACTAATTGTGAATAGAATATTCTTGTTAATAAACTTGTTCAAATTGTCTACTATGTTATACAGATGATAAATTTGACCAGCTGGTTAGACAATAATTTATTTGTTTATCTAAACTATACATAAATTACAATGAGACATGAAGAATAAATAAACATCATTGAAATTTAGAAGAAAATAATGATTTGAGAAATGAAAACAAAAAAGAACCTTCAATAGTTTGTAAATATAGACAAATGACATATTTTATAGGTTCATAATTTGTTTTATTAAAGTAAATAGTGAGATAAACTATTGAAAATATTTGTAATTATAACTGTTCTTCATTGAAGTAAATTTTCTGATAATTATTCTTCACCGGATCGATGATGATAAATATCAATATATATTTGTTAAAATAAAATATACTAATGTAAAAGAACAAATGTTTATTTCTATTAAACTTACATATCCAAAGTGGAGGAGATAAAATTTTGTTTGGATTATTAATTAACACAAGAATGATATAAATTCATTCAATTGGACATATTTCAAAAGTAATTTTTCTATGTTGAATTGATGTCATTTGTTTGATTACATTAGAAACAAGGTTACACTATTTAAGTAGTTTAGTCTAATTACAAAGTCCTTATAAATGAAAACGGTCGATTGTATGGGGATTGGAATGTGAGGCAATTCATATCTCCTAATGAATTTGATACCATTTAACCTAATAGTTTTGAGTTCAATAGATCCAATCGATTTGTGTAATGATGTGATTCTTATTCAATAATAATTAGTTTCAATATTGGCAGATTTCTTCCCTCTACTGTCTTCAAATAACTGTTTCAAAGTTAACTAATAGTAAGACCATAATAATTCAGCAAAAAGAAAGCACATTTACGTGTTCTTCCAGTTTCACTGTGGAAAAGACTGAAGGCTGGTTGGCCTATGTTAGTCCTGGCAATGGTAAAATAGTAAATAAGCGAGAAATTTTTACCACAAAATTTGCATTAATCTCAGTCTTCCAATGATTCCATATTCATTATACCTTTAATTTACTTACAGTAAAGAAATATTGAAAGTTTAAACGAAAATGTTGAAATTCAATAAGCACCTAATACAACTGTAATTGTTTGAAGTTTCTAAACAATATATAATCTTTTCAAATTAATCTATTACTCCAAGACGGTTTTATCTATCAAGAATTTGATTCACAGTGTGAACTTTCTAATATACTAATGAGATGACTTTGATTTTGTGGAATCAGATTTGTCAAATATTAGCACGAATTTCGATCAATGAAAAAACGTTAAGATCCATGTATTGTAAATAAACTGACGGAATACTAAAATATCAATCATCAAATTTACTAAAATATCCCAACCATGATGTGTCCATTAGAAAATATGCGAAGTGATAGTTTCTCTATTGAGCGCGTATTGTAAAAGAAGTCTAAACAGTGAAGAAACTGCTAATCTCACAAACTACATAGATTATTTTAAAAAGTGTAATGACTTATTACCACTTTTATTTTATTTTGGACCAGTTACGTCTAATCATAACTCTAATTAGATAATAGAGGTTTTATTGAATCTTGACATCAATGTTCACAAATAACAAGCAAAGTTTAGAAAAACATCAAAGTAAGTTCATTTAAATATGCTATTCGTACTATTTCGTGAATATCCTGATGATAAGACTTTTAAGATTTGTCGCAAAAAGACGTTCATTACAAGAATATCTATCGTTAAAGACATAAATTACAACTGATTGTAGAAGTATGTATGGTGTAAGCATTCTGCATAAAAAATATTATGATTTTTAATTTTGATAAGATAAACTTTAGCTCGGGTTTATCGTACGAAGAATATATACGTAGAGCATTCAAACACTATTAGTTCATTGATAACGTAGATTGTCTGGAAAATCTATAAGGTAAGAAAATTGATTTGATTCATTCAGTCGACAGAAGGAACACTATAATCAAATGACATCAAAATTATCTTTTAAGGTTCATGTTTTCCCATTGTTGATACTGAAGACTGCAGTTTGGTCAATCTCTCCGACTATACAAACTCTTTGAGTAAATATCTCGGTATCTCGCTGTGAGAATAAGTTTCAGCATAATTTTGTCGTGGTTAGTATAATGGGATCCTAGATGCATATCTATTTCGGTCCTTTTAGCTGGATATACCTGAATCTTAGTTTAAATGTTTACACTGAGATGCGAACATAGTACCTATTGATTTAAAATACGATGGGTTATTTACTGAGCCACTTAGTTTTTATGAAAACTAACTTTTTCATTTGATAGTATTCTCATCATTATCCGAATATCAGATAGGATTAAGCGACCTTCCTGTATTCCACTTCCAACCATACATTACAAAATTTGTCCTAACGATATCAAAGATTTTTTTCACCAAGCAGATAGAGTAAGATTATCACGCACTTCCTTTATACGCATGAAAGTAGTCCTAAATTATGAATGTATCAGTGAACGGAGTGTTTGATAAACTGTAGTATCTTATTTAGTTTGCTGGGTGTTTATTTTTCTTTGTGTTAAGTATTTAGTTATCAACTGAGCAAAGTAATCGCCTTAACAAAAAGTATGCAATCTGTAAGGTAATCAAAACAAAAAAGTCGAATCCAAATTACAGTAAAAGCACATGAATAAATATTTTTGAAATTTAATAGAATATCACTCAGTCTACACAAATTCGGTAATTTTAGTACACGAAATGTTAATACCGACCACCTGAGTCATCATTCAAGTTGTCACATGAACACAGTATTCATGTTCAGAGCATCTCTATGACTAATCACAGCAGTAACCAATATACTAATTAGTGTAGTCATAGCTTGGGGCTTGTGGTGTTAGAAACTACAGTACGATTTGTATTTTTTCGGTAACTGAGTCTCACTCATAGCTGCTTTGTACGTTAGTTTAAGTTTGAAATGCTATTTACCAACTGTTTAGTGAAAATCTCTGTCACCCTGTAGTAAGTCTTTTTTCTATCTAGTCTACTAACAAAATAATCGTCATTGTGTTGAGAAAAATTTTGTTACAGTGACATAAAATCTAAGGCCTACATACATTTCAAAGAGAAATAGTGTACTAGCAAAGAAATCGGGTACATGGATTCAATAAATCTTGAAACCTCAGTTATCTCGTATCAATAGGCTGTTAAGTTGATTTGATTTCACGTGACGTAATCCTGTGTTTTTGTAATCCATGTCAGTTAAAAAAAGATGTGTGCATATATTTTAAGAAATGTATAACATGAGAGGTTCTGTTAATACTGAAAAAATTTTCCCAATGAAATATTGATTCCTCTATTTCAGTCAACTATATTTGGGCAGTTTGAAGAATTCATTTCATTAAATAAAATTATTAAAACAC